AACCTACCCAAGCCTGTGGGGGGGGGGGGGTGAAGGGGTGGGCTCAAGGGAAGGGGAATACGCTGACTGAGATGCTCAGTAATGATTGTGCAGGACAAGTGAAAAGGGCGTCAGGAGCACTGGGTCTATGTCTCAGCTCTATGACATGTCAGCTGTGTGTGCTGGGGCAAGTTACTTAACCTCTCTGAGCTCCCAGCACCTCCCCTGGGAAGCGGTGACAGTGGTGAGGCCACACGTTGCTCTGGGGCACTGAGTGAGACAGTGGGTGTGATATGCCTGGGAAATACCATTGGCTTGAACCATGTGAAACTGCTGGTATCCAACTGATTTTGACTCAAAACCCAGAAATTTCATGTGATTCAGTCTAACGGAAAGAGAGAACCCTCTGTCTAGCTGAAAGAAGAGATGAAAAGAGAAAATGACCACAGATAGGGAGAGAACAAGGAGAATGAAGATGGTGCATTGCAGAAATTTTTACAGATAATGTGCAACCTGGGAGAACGTGTGATTTTCTAGGAAAACACCGGTCACTAAAACTGCCACGGACCAAGGGCCTCGTCACTACAGGTCTGCTGCTGCCTTCCCCCATTTTCCAAGACCACACACACTCCTGCCTCCCCCATCCTCCATCTCCCATCCCCCATCCCCCATCCCACATTCTCCATCCCCCATCCCCCATCCCCCATCCTGGAGGACCACACTCCTGTCTCCCTATTCCCCATCCTCCATCCTCCAGGACCACCTCCTGCCTCCCCATCCCCATCCCCCATTCTCCTAGGACCACGCTCCTGGTTCCCGGGACCAAGCTCTAGTTCCTCCTCCTCCTCAGAGGTCCTCTCCCTGTTCTCTCTCTGCCTGGGTCCTGGTCCCCTCTATGATCTGGGTCACCCCAGCACCCCCACCCACAACACCCAACCCTGTCTGTCCGTCTGTCCTCTCCAGTGTCTGACTTCCCTTAGTGCTTGTTCTTATGTGTTCTCTCTTCTCTTTCTCCTTCCTCTTTCTCTAAAATCAATTTTCAAAATACGTTTTTAAAAAGAAGCAAACTGCCCTAACCAGTTTGGCTCAGTGGATAGAACATTAGCCTAAGGACTGAAAGGTCCCGGGTTCAATTCCGGTCAAGGGCATGTTCCTTGGTTGCGGGCACGTCCCCGGTAGGGGGTGTGCAGGAGGCAGCTGGTCGATGTTTCTCTCATCGATGTCTCTAACTCTCTTTCTCTCTCCCTTCCGCTCTGTAAAAAATCAATAATATATATATATATATATATATATATTTAAAAATAAAAAGGAGCAAACCCCAGACAGTTCCCACGTTACTTCTCTCAAGCTTCCCAGCTGCGCTGGCATTCGCAGGGAGCAGACACACAACACCTCCCCGTCCAGTCCCTTCGCGAGGTCAGCGTGAGGTGGGGACTGACATCGGCCAGATCTCAGTGCGATGCACCCCCTTCATTATACTTTTAAGGAGAAAGTATAATCGTCTCCACAGATAAAGCTCCGCCGCCTGTTGCTGTTGGTTTTAAATGCTTCAGAGACGCAGGCGGACGGACGCCTTGGTGAGACTCAGTGGGACACCTGGCCGCCTGCGCTGGTCGGGAAGGCGGGGGTGACCGCGCTGGCTGCACCAGCTCGCCATGAAAGAGAAAAGAGAAAGCGAGGGAGGAGCCGGCGTCAGCGGGGAGCTGCGAGCTCTGGGTGCCAGCAGATCACGGAAACACGGGACCCGGGACTGGGAGGCTCAGGAGGCAGATGGCGGTGAGAGGCTGCCGGTTTCCAAGTGAATTCACAAAAAGTCATCGCTTTCCAACAGACACTGCTCGGCAGACGGGATGCAGGAAAGCCTGCCGATTAGCGGCAAAGCGGCCCCAGAGATGGCACTGCCCTAGGCTAAGCCCCACGGCTGCAGGCTGACTGAGGGCACAGAGGGGGGGGGGAGGGGGGAGGAGTGCAGAGGGGGGAGGAGTGCTCGGACCCTGCTCCCTGGAGAAGGTCTCCCCTCCCGGCCTCTCCACAGCCTGGCCTCTTGTTCTCCCTCTCCCAGCTGGCCCCAGGCCCTGACCTCTCAAGGGGCCCTGCCTGCTCACCTCCACGTCCCTGAGACCAGGCCTGCTCCCGCCAGTCCCCCACTTCCTCCACACCCTGGAGGGCGCCCCACAAAACCCAGCCCCTGGGGTGCCCAGGGAGGCCACTCTCCACCCCCACCCCCTGTCTCTCAAGCTCCCCAAAAGCCTCCCTCCACATACCCCCCCCCCCTTGGCTCCATGCCCACTTAGGATGTCCAAGAGTCAGACCAGGAGTGTGGTCCTTCCATCTGTCCATCTTACCTGGTAGACTGAGCGGGCGCCCATCCTGGGCTCCGGGAGCCAGGCTGGGGTACCAGGGCACACTGGCACCCTGCCCTCCGCCCTCCTCCCGCCCACCCCGCCCCCAGCCCCTCACCTGGGACCCAGAGCAGCAGCAGGGCTGTGGGCAGCCCGGACGCCTGGCCCAGCGGGGTCATCTCTGTGCCTCTGAGGACCCGGGCAGCGGCGCCCAGCTACCTGCTGGACCCACGGCTTCTGTCCTCCTCCCGGGGAGGCCGGGCCCCCAGCTCCCACTTCTGTTTTTCTTTGTGCGGCTGCTTCCTTGTTCGGCTTCTGTTCCTGGATCTGGTCAGGAAATGGAGGGCTCCAAGGGGCAGAGGCTGGGCGGCTGGCTGAGACGCCCCAGAACCAGGCCTGTGCCCACTTAGTCCCAGAGCCGCAGGTTCTGTACATTCTTCCAGGAAGGACACCCCACTTCCTCCTTCACAGCTCACAGGCTCATGTGTCCTCTCTCACATCCCCCAAGGCCACGGGGCCCAGTAATTCCCCGGCCCGTTTCCTCTCATGTGGTCAGGGTGAGACCCAGAGGCGGAGCCTGGGCAGCGCCCATAGGAAGGCCTTCTGGGGAGCGCTCTCTCTTTCTCTCTTTAAAAAAAAAAAAAATTTTTTTTTATTGATTTTTTACAGAGTGGAAGGGAGGGGATAGAGATCTAGAAACATCAATGAGAGAGAAACATCCATCAGCTGCCTCCTGCACACCCCCCACTGAGGATGTGCCCGCAACCAAAGTATATGCCCTTGACCGGAATCGAACCTGGGACCCTTCAGTCTGCAGGCCGACGCTCTGTCCACTGAGCCAAACTGGTTTTGGTGGCTCTTTATCTTTTTAAAAATACATATATTAAAATTTAAAAATAAATATAAAAAAATAAATATATATCTATTTTTATTGATTTCCAAGAAGAAGGCAGAGGGAGAGAAATATCAATGATAAGAGAGAATCATGGATCAGCAGCCTCCTGCATGCCCCACCCTGGAGATGGAACCTGCAACCCAGGCCTGTGCCCCGACCGGGAATCAAACCGATTCCTCCTGGCTCACAGGTTGACGCTCAACCTCTGAGCCAGGTTGGCCGGGCTGGGGAGCTCCCTTTCCATGAGCCTCCAGCTCCAGGCCCCAGGTCCTGACCCCCACGTTGGCACAATGACCCCCGAGTCCCTGAATGCTGTCTAGTCTGGGAAACGTGGCCTCAGCGTGGCCGGCAGGTCCTCAGGCCGTGACCTTTCACCCTGCACGGCCCCCGCAGGAGCCAGCTCAGGGCAGGACACGGCGGGGCCTCAGCAAGCCCTTCTGGTCCATCACCTTCCCCCGGGGTGCAAGGGAACCATGGAGCCTCGCGGGCTCTCCTTCTGGAAGGTTCCACGGACAGCGTGGTAGGAATCGGGAGGACTTCTAGGCAGATGCAGGCATGGACCCGCTAACACTGCGAGGACCAGGGCTGGACGGAAACGGAGACGCGCTGTCACCTCTGGTGCCTACTTGTCAAACACGCGGAAGTTTCCCCAAAATTTTGCAATTCAACCACTGGCTGCAGTGGTGACTGTCACAGTGAGAGGGGGGACGCCCAGGACTGGGAAGCAGGAGGCGGGGTTCTCCGGGGTGACCTTGAACAAAACGCGTGGCTCCTGTAAGCGTCGATGGTGACAGCTCAGCTGCGGGAATAAACAGTATGACAATGAGGAGCATACTCCGCGGGAGGCAGTACCCCTTAGGCGTTGCCCGGGAGTGCATCTGTAATGGAAAGTATGTACTCTACGGGGTCCGAGACGGAGGAGAGAAAGGGGAACTGGTCCCCCCACACGCACCCGGCTCACCCCATCTGTCCATGAACCCTAAGGAAGAGACGAGATGATGTCAGGTTCCCACAGGATGCCAGAAAAGTAAGGAAGGAACCCCCTTGCTGCTGCTCCCTACTGGCCACGGGCAGACATGAGCCCCAGGCCTGAGCCCCTTTTCTCGGGGGGAGGGGGTCCCACAAACCACAAGGCCTCTCACTGGGCTGGGCCCTCTTCCCAGTGTGGACCCAAGCCTTCGGGGTCCAGTGGGGAGGGTGTTGCTGGTACCGCGTGGGGGCGCTCTGGGCAGACCTGCAGCAGCTGTGAGTCCTGCAAACGGTGGGAGCTCCAGAAAAGATCTGGGGTGATTGAGTTGCGGGACTTCTCAGCAGGGACTACTCGCTCTGCCCGTACGGTAGCTGCTCCCCCCCCCCCACCCCCGGGCAATCCGGGCTTCCTATTCCCTCTGCCGCTCCCTCCCCCTGAGTGAGGGAGGGGCTCAAGTGTGGCCTGAGGGGAGAGGCTGTGCCGCTCCCAGCAAGAGGGGGAGGGGGGACAGCGATGAGGCTGCAGTGAGGAGAGCTTGGCAGCTGCTTGAACTGTTGCCGATGCCTCCCACCCCCCAAGTGCTTGGCCCTGGTTGAATGGACATGACTCGAAGGCGAGTGACTGCAAGATCCATGAGGCAAATGGATCACAGCATGAGAAGCAGCATGGGGGGGGGGGGAGGCAGAGAGGAGGACACAGTACTGGTTTCCCTGCCCCAGGAGCCTGGGTGAGACCAGCATCACCAGCCTGGCCCTGCCCCATTGGGCTGGCCTGCCCTCTGCTGGACTCTGGGCACTGCCCACACCTCACCCTCCTGCCCACTCGGGGGAAGCTGCCCAGCCTGGCCGCATGTGTAACCCACAGTCCACAACCAGCCGGTGCCGAGGGCCTGTGGCACGCTCTCCCGCCGTTCCTGGTGCGCTGTGGAGCGGATGGAGAGGAAGAGGAAGCTGTGGGTGAGCCGAGAGCCCCGCCATCCAGAGAGCCAGCGCTCCCTGGAGGACAGGGGACGGGGGTGGAGAGCTGGTCTGACGGGGGCCTGGGAGCTCAGCAGGGCACACATGGGCGCGGCGCACGAGGGGGCAGCCCAGCAGGCGGGGGCCTGCTCCTGGCTGTACCTGGAGAAACAGTCTTGGGGTTCCTCAATGCCACAGGCACAGGGATTGGGGCACCCACAGGCAGAGGGATGCACCTTCAAGCCATGGTCTCAGAAGATGGTCCTGCTGCTCCCGCCCCTCTGCGCCCCCTTCCCCTGCACCCCTGTCCACACGGGGCCCCCACAGCCCTAGGCTCACGGCCCACTGCACTTCCCGCGTACGAGTAGCCAGAATTGGGGTGAGATACAGAGAAGGCCTGGCATGGAGGCCTCTGTCTCCTCTCGCCAGACCCCACCCCCAATGAGAAGGAAGGGCTAGAGCTTACAATGGTGAGGTGAGGGCAGCTTAAAGCCCGCCCAGCTGAGCGACTCAGACTCCTGCCCTCCACCTGGGTGGCATCCAGGCTCCAGCACAGGCCAGGGGTGTGCACACCTGGAGCCGAAAGCAGGGGCGGCATCACCCTGTCCCAGCGCCCCGGGGTGCCCAGAGACAGTGGCGTCTAAGGGGGCTGCCTCCCGAATCACTGGGGTTCCTCCCGGAAGCAGGACCAGGGTTGGGGGTGGGTGAGGGGAGGCCTGGGAGGACCCCTGACTGTGACAATGGAGAGAGATGGAGGGGCGGGGGATGGTCCCTGAGCTGCATTCTAGGGCCTGTGCACCTCTGTCCAGAGAGTTTTCCCTCCTGTGAAATGGGGGCGCTGCTCAGCACCCTCCCCGCTCCACGGGAAGCCCATGTGAGTTTGTTTGCGCCACGTGAGTGCGGTCTGCTGAACGGCCACCAGCTGCGTGCCTCAGTTTCTGCTCCTCACGGCCCGGAGACGCCTCACCCGCCGACCCCATTCACCATGTGCACCCCGTTAGCCCCCAGACTCCAGTCTGCACCGGGCTCTGGGGAGTGGCTGCCCAGGGTGGGGGAGGGGCTCGGAGCGGCCATGGAATGCGCCCGGAGTACTGACCACAAGCTGAGGAGGAAGAGGATGTTGGGCAACTGGGACCATGAGAACCCAAACCGACAGGCTTCCCAGGGGTTCCCCGTGCCCCCCCCCCCCCCCCCGCCACCTCCTTCCTCACCTGGGACAGCCTGCGGGCTCTGGCTGCTGTGCTGGCCAAGGGCGGGGCGAACCAGCAGCGGCCAGTTCAGAAACCTCTCGTGTTTGCCTCTGGGAGCCACGTTTGCCCTTGAGCTTGAAGACTTGAGTTTCTGACTTTCAGGGGGTGACCCCAATACCCAAGGCCTCAGCAAGGTCATAAGCTCCCCCCCCGACCCCACCACCACCATAGTCACCTCCCTGCTCACCTGTCTTCAGGGGTCTTCCCACAGACACCTCCAGAGGGCGGTGCGATGTGTGAGCTACACGGGCTACTCCGGCCTGATTCCTATTCCCTGCTTCTGGGTGCCTCCAGGAACCGGGAACCGGAACACGGTAGAGCCTGCACCTTAGAGAGAAGTTGCTCTCCTGGGAACAGGCAGCCCAACTTGGCCAGCCACGAGCAGCGCCATCGCCACCTGCTGGTTATTGCCTGAACTACAAGCTTTTAGAGCAGGCTACCATTCCCATCTGCGTCAGGAAGGGGAGGGGCTCCTGTGGGTAGTGGGAGGGAGGGTGTGTGTGTGTGTGTGTGTGTGTGTGTGTGTGTGTGTGTGTGTGTGTGTGTGTGTGTCTGAGACCTCTATCCAGGGCTCAGACCTACATCCGGGTCCAAGACAGTCATGTCGGGGCCCAGGCCTCGAACCCAGTATCCTGTCATGTATCGGGGTCCAGACCACCATTCCATGACACAGAGGTTCAGCCCCCGACCCAACCTTCACCCTGGGCCCAGCTGATCCTTCCAGACCCCTCAACCAGTAGACCAGGGACAAGGGGAGGGCTCCAGCCCCTGGGAAGGGTGTCTGGGGCTTCAGAGAGGCAGGCTGTGGAGGAGGAGGAAAGGAAGGGGTGAGTGATGGGGAAGGAAGCAGGACAGTGCCTGGCCCTCGGACCAGGCCACCCAGGAGGGATGGGAGAACTGGGGTCCAGGCTTCGGGATGTCTTAGGTGTATTTGCCGCCAATGAGAGCCAGTGGGTGCTCAGATGCCCAGCTGGACCACCGGCTCAGGCTGCCCAGCTGCCCCTTAGGGTGAACAGGCTGGTGCCGCACCTCCTGCCTGCCCTAAAGAGGACTGTTCTAGAAGGGGGATGGCGCTGAGGCGGCGGGGGGTGGAGGAGGGGAGAAGGCA